GCAGATCTCCCCGGGGTGGTCGGGCCCGCGCCCCGGGAGCCGGCCGGCCGCGCTGCGCCCTCCGCGTCCTCCGCGCCGAGCTCCCCCCCGCGCAGTGGTACGCGCCCGCGCCGCCGGAACTGGCGGAGCCGTTTCCCTGGAAACCGGGCCCTGCCCTCGGCCGCGCACTCTTTAACCCTGTCGGCGCCGGGGCGGCCGGCAGCGCCCGGGTAGCCCGCGGGCCGCTGCGCTCGGCGGGCCCCGCGCACCCCGCGCCCTCGCCCGCATCCTCGCCACACCCTCTGCCCCAGGGCGGGCAGCCTTCCCACCACTCCTTTCCCTCACACTTACCGAGGGTTAAGTTGGAGAAGCTGGGCTTTAATCAGCGTGGCGTGCTTTGACAGCCCTCTTTCCAGAAAATTCTGGAGTTGCCCCGCGTGTCTTCCTTCTGCGGTCCGATTGTTTCCGCACACCCATGTGGAGTTGCTTTCCCTTTCCCTTCGTGTGCCAGAACCTCCCACCCACCCCCTGCCCTCCCGGGTCTTGCTGTCCACCCCACACCTGGTTTTGTCTTTCTCTTCAGCCCCTTAGACTACAGACTGCGTGGCCCGACCGTAGGGATACTTAATACCTGCTGACACACACACCCTGTTTGGTTCGATTAAAGATGCTCCAGCCTTATGCTTTATGTATGTTTTATGAAACTGGGGCAGAGCTCAGTTCTACGGTGTAGCCTCGGGTCTTAAATGTCCGCGTGAAGGATAAGATTTCAGAATTTTTTTTTTCACTACCCCCCCCCCCCCCCCCGAAGCCAAGAGTTTTTAGTTCAGAGGAAAGGACCCTGTGAATTTTTAATGAAGTTGCAAGTTCACATGTCTAGATACAAAGTGACCCGACTTCTCTGTTTTCCTTGATTCTTTGGAAACCTGAACAAGACATTTTTAAAAATCACATTATATTTGTTTAGCGGGGGCGGAGGGCACGAGTATGTTCCACAGCCAGAGTATAGCGGTCAGAGGACAACTTGAGGAAGTCATTTCTCTCCTTGTACCATGTGGATTCCGGGATCGAACTCAGGTCATAAGGCTTGGTGGTAATGACCTTACCTGCTGACATCCGGAGCCTAGCAAGATTTTGGCTGTGTTCCAAAATCGGAATATGATCCCCTTAGATTTTAGCCACTCCTCTTTCCTAAGTAACAGATACTTGTTAGACCCAGGTACTTACGGGCTTCAGAAGCACTAGCAGGCAGCGTGAACAGTACATTCCACCCAGTCCTTCTTGACCAGGAAGCGCAGGGGCTAAGATTCTTGCAGGCTTGTTGGCTCACATTTCACATACTGTAGAGGCCCATTGACATTTATGACCTTCCTGAAAAATGGACTACATTGTTTGCCACCAGATGATGTACAATGTAACAATTCTGGCCGTCCCTCAGTTTGCACTCTTCTCCTGGGGTCACCTGGGTTATCTTCTGTTTAAACAGCCCCAGGGTAGTTCCATGACATACCTGATAAAGAGGTCAGACACCAATTACCGGAGAGTTGGCTCTCTCCTGCCGTGTGGGTCCCAAGAATCAAACTCCGGTCCTCAGACTTGAAAGCAAGTGCCTTTACCCACTGAGCCATTTTGCCTGCCCTGAAAGTCACATTAAAAAAACAAAAACAAACAAACAAAAAAACCATACTCTTTGGCAATTTCATATCTACTTTTGCTCATTTTCACCCCTTATTACCCTCTACCATCCTCTTCCCGTTCTCCCACTCAACCCCCCCCCTTTCCTATACATTCACCTCCCACTTTTCTGTCTTCTTTTGTTGTTGTTAATTTGTGATGTGCTGTGTGTGAGCGTTGATACAGGGCTGTTTACGGGAGTTACCGGTGAAAAACATTCCTTTCTGAGGGAGAGAGGAGAGACAGACAGACAGACAGACAGACAGACAGAGGGTCTTCCTGTGTAGGCCTGACTTGACCAGGCTGGGGCGAAGCACACAGTAACCTCCCTGCTTTTGCCTCCCTAGTGCTGGGATTAAAGGAATGCACCACCACACCTGGCTTTTTAAAGACGGGGCACAAGTGTGTGTCGTGTGTGTGACACATGTGGGGATGCCCAAGAAGGCCGGCAGAGGTCGTCGATTCCCTGGTACTGAAGGTACAAGCAGTTGTGAACCTCCTGACAAGGAGGCTGGTAACCAAACTCAGGTCCTCTTGGAAGAACAGCAGGTGCTCCGAACTGATGAGCCGCGTCTCCAGCCTCGTTATCACATTGTTGATATTTGAGTGTAGATGTCTGTGTTGATTCCGGAGCACCTTCAGTGCACCTCCCTTCACCCTCTTTGCTGCTTTTCCTAGCTGTCTTGGAACTCACTGTGTAGCCAGCGTTGCTCTGCAAATAGTAGTAGCCCTCCGACCTCAGCTGAAGTCATAGGTGTGGCCCACCATATCTAACTACCTTAGTGTGCCTTCACCCTGCTTCACACCGAGCAGAGCGCCAGGGCCCAAGCTATGCAGTGTGAGCGTGGAGGTTTTTCTTACCCAGAAAGAGCATCATCCAATGGCACCTCTAAAAAGTTGGAATGCCTACCTGGTCCTACTTTTAGCAAAGCTTTCTTGAGTTTAACACTAGAATTTCATGAATACACAGCTTTTTGCTTTCAATCATAAATCAGAAGAAGTTTCAGCCCTCGTGAGTATCATCACAGTCAATAACGGCAAGAAACATTTCAGGAGAAAAGGTGCCGCGTCGAATGAGCCTGTGCTGACTCACTGGTGGCTTATTTTGGCACTGTGGAAATGACCTCCGTTTCTAGGTCTCAGTTTCCTTATCTAGATAGTGTTTGGCCCGGAAATCTTCAGGCACCTCCCAAAGGTAACTCAGCAGAGTCCAGGTCAAGTCTGGACATCTCCCTAATTCCAGGGTGTGCGCTGTTTCTAATTCGGGCTTCAGATGAACGTTTTCAGAAGCCAGACCTGATGGTGCGGTACTATACTCTCAGTTACTCATGGAGACTGAGCCAGGTGGATCACAGCAAATTTGAGGCCAGCCTGGGCTACATAGCAAGACCCTCTTTTTTTTTTTTTAATTCCTGAGACAGGGTTACTTGGGGAAGCCCTTGCTGTCCTGGAACTGGCTCTGTAGACTAAGCTGACCTTGAACTCAGAGATCTGCTTGCCTCCGTGCTAGGATTAAAGGCGTGCGCCACCACCCTACCGGGACTTTCTCTTTAAAGAGGTCAGAGGACAACACTCTGGAAGTAGGTCCTTCCTTCCGCTGTGGGTCTAGAGCTTGGGTTCAGGTCACCAGGCTTTAGGCAAGGGTCTTTTCCGGCTGAGCCATTGAACCAGAAAGGCCAGGAGCTCTTGAGAGAGGGTGTTCTCCGTTCCTAGATACTTGTGTTTTTCTGAGACAGGGTCTCTCAACCTGGAACTGTGTATCAGAAGATGGCCTTGAACTCCTGATCCTCTTGTTTCTACTTGCTAAATGCTGGGGCTCCACATCCAGTTTCTGCTGTGCTGCGGAGCAAACCTAGGCTTCATGTATGCTAAGCAAACACTGTGAACTGAGCTACATCCCCAGGGCATCGCTAAATATCTCTTGTTAAATTAAAAAAAAAAGATTTATTTTTATTTTATGTATATTCACATTTAGCCTGCATATATGTCTGTGCGTTATATGTGTGCCTGGTGCCCGTGGAGGCCAGGAGAGGTGTCAGATCTCCTGAATCTGGAGTCACAGATAGTTGTGAGCCACCAGGTGGGTATTGGGAACGAAACCTGGGCCCTCCACAGGAGCAGCAAGTGTGTCCTGATCACTAGCATATCTCTTCAGCCCTCTGCTCCTAAATATCTGTAGCCAGCAGAGTGTCCTGAGGATCCAGTGTGGTCGCTCATGCCTGTGATCCCAACACTTTCAAAGCTGGGACAAGTTAAAGAGTTCAAGGCTGGCCCGGATTACAGAGTGAAACCTTATCTTTAGAAGGGGAAAGGAACAGTAAGAGAAGTGAGGACCTCATCAAGCAAAAACAGCAGCAAACCATTAACAGCCCTGTTAATAAGTACACAGATGAGTTGAGAAGATCTCTGAAGAAGCTTTACAAATGGCCTCCAGACTCGTGAAAGGGTGTTAACGCCTCCAGGGATGGAAATGTAAGTCAAAGCGGAAGTGAAATAGTGCCTCCGGTTTTTAGAATGGCTATATTAAAGGAAACTGAACACCCGTGCGGGTGACGGTGCAGAGGAAGGCATTGCCCTGGTGCAGTGTTAGTGAGAATGTAGAGGTTCATAGCCGTAGGAGGGCTGATAGATAGGTAGACAGACAGACAGACAGATAGTCGGGGAGCTGAGAATTGGTAATTGCTGTTTAATGGCTGTGGAGTTTATGTCTTTTTGAGGCACAGTATCACTGTGCAGCTCTGGCCGGTCTCCAGTTGGCAGCAGCCTTCCCGTGTCTGCCTCCTAGCTGGCGTTTACAGGTATACACGACTGCGCCGGTACCAGTCCATGTACTTTGGACAGAGTCAATAGAAAGTATGTTAAAGGCGGATTTATTAGAGTGGCGTCCGTGGTGCAGAGTGGTCCAGTAACGGCTGTCTCTCACCAGAGAGGCCAAGAGCCCCCGTCTGCACTGAAGTCCTGGAGTATTCCCAGAGAGCCATTGATTGATCTTCAGTCTGTGTTGGAAAAAGCTGATTCTAATGCCAGAGAAGGAATCAGCGGTGACAGAAACTGAGTAGACTAGCAGGCAAAAGAAACATTTCCTCCTCCTTTGTCCTTTTATCTGGGCTGCCTCCTTCTGGGTGCATCTTCCTACTTATTATCTGATCAAGAAAGCCCCTCACAGAAGTGCCTGGCAGCTTGCCTTTTAGCTGATTACAGACCAGTCAAGTTGACAGCTAGGATCAGCCTTCTGCAAGTCTGGGCCTGGGTCAACTTGACACCCAGTTGGAAATCCTTATGTCATGGTTAATTCCCAAATGAAAACAATAACAAGCTCATAATTTTACCTAATATGATATAAACTATCCCACGTAAAACCACAAACTCATGTGTTTTTTTTCTCCTAAAATAGGTGGCAAAGTCCCTTGAAGAATGCTTAGTTTCTTAGTGTCTCATAACTCAAATATGATAATATAGATTTGTAACACTTAGCCACTGATATCTCAATTACTGTCATACTATATGATATGAAAGAGAGGCAAGGAAACACAAATATCTGCTTAATATATGTATATAAGCATAAGTATGTTTGTGCATGTTCGTATCTGGAAGAGGGAACCTCAAACTGAGAGAATGCCTCCATCCGACTGGTCTGTACTGCAATCTGTGGGCCACTTCCTTGACTAATGATCGATGTGGGAGGCCCAGCCGCTGTGGGTAGTGCCACCCCAGAGACAGCTGATCCTGAGTCACGTAAGCTGCACTCCTCTGTGACTCTGCTTTGCTTTCTGCCTCCAGGTTCCTTCCTGGACCAATTCTAATCCTCTTCTCTGTAACGAGTCACATGGCCTTCATAACTACCTTTCTCTACTCCTCATTCTGTATTTCCTCCCCTGAGCAAGAACCTCGGTAGGCCTTGATTCTTTTCCTGGAGAGGTGACCCATATATTGATTCTTGAAGAGCCTGGGTCATTTGTCACTCCGCCTGCATTGAATTGTTGTAGCTTCCCATTGAACTTAATCACAGGATATACTGATACCAAGAATACATAGTAGAAGATCTCCTACACTCCAGACATAAGCTTCTTTATCATTTTCATCGAAAAGCAATCCTGTTTCCCCCTGGTAGTTTGGATCAGTCACCCCTCCTGTAGCCTATTGGGTTAAGGTCATCAGTAACCCAACATAAGCAGGAGGAAGTCCCAGCTTCCAGTGCAGTGGAAAGTCTGTTGTGTCTTCTGGCAGAAGTATTCTCCATTCTGGAACCAAAACTTCTAGGCAAACAGAGTTAAAGTCCTGTGAACAGGAAGCAAAAATTTTCTTAGTGGGCTGCTAGGGGTGATAGTAAGTGGAAACATTCCCTTTTCCTCCCCCTTGATTTGTGGTCCTGTGAATCCGGGCTATGGGAAAACAGTACCGTAGATTGGATGCTGATTCAAAACGTATATAGCCTGATGGTGAACTCTGCCCCAGCTCTCCAGGCCACCCAACAGGCCCTGCAGCTGTGTACTTTGAAAGCGATTCCACTGCTCTGTCAAGCCAGCTGCTTGATAGAATGTATGTGACAAACACATTGAGATTGGTGGATCCCATGAATATGGTCCTGCTTCTGTGGCCATGAAGTGAGTCTCTTGGTCAAAAGCGTGGAATACCATGCTGGTGGATAAAGCGTCGTGGAAGTCCAACTGTGGTAGCTATGGCAGAATCATCACAGGCAGGAAAGGCCAATCCATGACCAAAATAAGTATCTGTTCCAGTAAGGACAAAACACTATCACTTCCACGGTGGACATGGCTCGATGCAGTCGCCTGCTACTGCCCGTGGGAACAGGGCTACATCCGGGGCTTGGTATCGGTCTCTGCAGCTGGCACATTTGGCACTCCGTGGCGGCTTATCCTGTCAGCCTTGGACCACAGCTGTCTCATCGTCTGTGTGATGCCCGTAGGGACATGCTTTCCTGAGCAGTTGCTTCCGAGGACAGGAAACCCTTCAGCTTCTGCTTTTCTTCCTTGAAATGAATTTGAATCTTTACAGGACGGAGCCTCCTCTGAGGGCAGGGTTTTTGCCTTCAGGGTACATTCCCATTCTCCCATTGCAGTGCAGGAATTTCATGTCGGAGGCACTGATCTCTCTATTAGTTACAGCTGCCCCGGAGAGGCGCTCCCATTCCCTTAGCCCCACTCAAAGGTGCTCCCACGCTGATGCTTCCTCTGCCAAACAAACCGTTTTCTTTAAGCTCAGCCTCACTCAGAGGCTCAGGACCCCCGGAAGAATGAAGCCTGATTCTCTGCCAAAATATCCCGAGAACGGCCCCCCACCCAGTCCCGGACAGAGTCTCTGCCTCCGAAAGCTCGTGAGCTGAGCCTCCATTGGTCTGCATTTCTCTATGCATTGATGTCTTCCAGGCTCCCGCTAGAGTGGCACATTATCCCGACTTCAGCAAGTTTTTTAGCCCAACATACTTCCACATTCCTCCCACCGAAGGCTCAAAAGCCACAGTCAGGTTTATCCCGCAAGGACGTCCTGGTTTCCTTTCTGTTGATGGGATGGAATACCCTGACAAAAACCAACTTAGGCAAGAAACAGTCTGTTTTAGCTCCCTGTTCGGGTCACACAGTTCCCAGGTTTCGGGGAAGTCAAGGGGTGAGCCTGAAGTTCCTGAAGAAATGGAAGTAACCAGTCACAGCCCTCACACACACGCCCACTGACCGACCGGATCTAGGCAGTCCCTCTTTAAGACTCCCTGGGTCAGTGGTTCTCAGCTGATGAGTCACAACCCCTTTGGGGGTTCACATATCAGAAATCTTGCATATCAGATATTATGATTCATAACAGTAACAAAATTACAGTTGCAGAGTAGCAATAAAATAATTTTTATGGTCAGAGTCACCCCAACATAAGGAACTGTGTTAAAGGATCGAAGCATCAGGGAGGTTGACGACCACGGCCCCAGGTTGTGACTCATTAATGCCAACCACTGTGGGGCCCATTGGAGCTTCAGTTCTGCCACACAGAAAAAAAAAAAAAAAAAGCTCTAGAAGCTGGGTGTGATGATTCGTGCCAGAGGCTGAGGCAGGCGAGTCTTGGCGAGTTCCAGGACAGTCAGGACCTCGAGTGTGTGTGTGTGTCTGTGTGTGTGTGTGTGTGTGTGTGGTGAGCTGCCATGTGGGTGCTAGGAACTGAACCCCGGTCCTCTTCGAGAACAAGTGCTCTTAACCACTGAGCCATTGCTTTAAAAACCTATCTCTTTAAAAACAAATAAACATGTTGCCTCAAGCCTACTGCCCTATACCTTTTTTTTGCTTTTGTTAATGTGCCATGGACGAATAAAATCTTCCACAGATACAGGTCCTACAGATAGATAATCGCTGCTTGTTAAGCCAGACCTTATTTCCCATCTAAAGAAATGCACAGGTTAGAGGGCCCTGACCACAGCAGGGTGCAGAGCTTGGAACCGAGGGGGCAGCTGCTTGTCGCTAGGCTTAGCTTTAGGCCAGAAGAGCGGCCTATTCCACTGACCGAAAAGGATAGTGAGGAACAATCCCCCACCACCCTCATCGGCATCCTCAGCTAACTGCGGTCCTTGCCTTCGACTCAGGCCTCCCCTTCCTGCAGCCTTTCTATTGTTATGCTGAATTCTGTCTCCAAGACCGTGATATCTGGATGGAGCGGGGATGTGTCTTCTTTACAGTTCCGCTGCTGCCGCCGCCGCCATACTGCGGTCCCCAGCAGGAGAGCCTTGCTATCTATCGGTGGCTTTTGTTCTTTTTTTTTAAAAAGATATGCTAGGGACTGGGGAGGTGGCCCGGTAGGTAGCTCAGAGTATTTGCTGCTCCTGCAGAGGACCCAGCTTTGTTTCCCAGCACTTACATGCTGCACGTGGTTGCTAGGAACTGAACCCAGGATCTCTGAAGGAGCAGCCAGCGCTCTTAACCACTGAGCCATCTCTCCAGCCCCGTCCTGGGATCTTTAAAGGCTCACCCCTTTTGGTAAAATTAAAATAATATAGAAAAGGCCCATGGCCCCTCCCCTTCCATTTTCATCTCTCAGACCATGTTCTCTTTGGTACCATGTTCTCTTTCATCTTTCATGACCTAGTGAAAAGAGCATGGGTTTTGTAAGGCGCCAGCATAGCACAGTCTCAACACAGGGAGCCGCCATCTTCCCTCCAAACTTGGCCTGATGTTTTCCGTAGCCGAGGAGTTTACGAGGGCCAGGCAGCTTGAGCGCGCACAGCTGCAGACCAAGATGAAAACAGCCAGTGCTTACTGAACAGGAGCTGCAAGGCACGCACCGTTCGGAGGTCCGTTCATAGATGAGCCTTCCGTCTGACCGCCACAGCAGCTGGCCTTCGTTCCCAAGCTGTGAAGAAGGTCACCAACAAGGAAACCACTGCACCAAGAAGCAGACAGCTGGCAAAAACCGATTTTTGTTGTTCTTAAGTTTTCAATCCGGGTCTCTGTAGCGCAGGCTGGCCTTTAACCCATGAT